TGAACTGTTCTGGAACAGTGTTGTAAATACAACTTAACCACTGATTTCTAGTCGTGTCCTCTTTTGGAAGGCCAAACAAAGTAGTTTCGCTTTCACAACAAAACACAGCGTCACACACGGTGGCCTTGAGTGAGCGGCGGCCAGCGGCTAGAGTGAGCGGAGGCCGGGGGGCTAGAGTGAGGGGAGGCTTTTTATCATTTTAGGGTGGTTGTGTACACACACTGCCAACACACATTTCAGTTCAAACGACTTGTAAAAGTGCATGTAGCATTATATGACCCCTTTAAATAAATGAGTCTTCTCATGTTCTTATTAATCCCGATGTCTTTTTCTAAACATCTCAAAGGATTCGGTTGTAGTTTGAAGCAGTTTTATGCACCAGCGAAATTCCTCAACGAAGCATGATACATGTCCATTGATCCCGTACAAATCAGGCCACATGTCTGGGAGGCACATTCAGACCTACATAATCAAATATTGAGCAATCATATTATAGTGCAGGGATGAACATTTGGCCAGTAGCCATATCTGCAATTATGCATCTGGTCAAATAAGGCAGAATCATATTAGCAAACCTCAGAGAGTCAGAGGAGCTCGTCCACATCTGCAACTCACAGCTTCTGCAGTTTGGTTATGTACTGAATACATTCAGGCTGCTTTTTTCACATATTAGTTTATAAAACCTAGCATGAGACCTACAAGTGTCTATATGGGTTTAGTTAATTATAGTTTAGGGACAGAAATGTCTGTTGATAGATCTGGCAGAAACTTTCTTTGGCCACATCTGACAGCAAAATCATACATATATTTTATGTTTTTTTTTTTTTTTGCACATGAAACACCTTTCATTCTCAAGGTTCTCATTTATTTATTTATCATTTCATTTAATTGTTTTGGCTGTACCAATAAAGAACCAAAAAGTGTGTTCTAAAACAGTGGATTTCTATGACATGTGTGTGAGTGTGTGTGTGTGTGTGTTCGTGTGTGCATGTGTGTGTGTGTGAGTGTGTGTGTGTGTGTGTGTGTGTTTGTTCGTGTGTGCATGTGTGTGTGAGTGAGTGTGTGTGTGTGTGTGTGTGTGTGTTCGTGTGTGCATGTGTGTGTGAGTGAGTGTGTGTGAGTTAGTGTGTGTGCGAGTTAGTGTGTGTGCGAGTGGGTGTGTGTGCGCGTGCGCGCGCGTGTGTGTGTGTGTGTGTGTGTGTGCACTCCAGACTCCAGCATGACTGTCCGACACAGATATGAGAAGGCTCCCTGCTGATTGTGCAGATGAACAGACAGTGAACAGACACTGAAGAAAACTTTGATATGATAACGGTGTGCTTGTCTTCATGTTTTGCATGCGCAGCCTCATTTCAGTCCTGAATCTTGATAATTGTCTAGTCTTGTTAGTGTTGTAAGAGCTGAGATTGTAAGCAATGGACACCGGACTAAAGCTACACATTTTGAGACTGTTTTATTCACACAGTTATACATTTCCAAATTTATGCACGACAAGAATCACATAGAAAATATTTGTTATAGGGGTCATTTCATTTTGAGTGGTCCAAATATTGTTAATCAGGTTGCTTGACAAATTTAATTGTTTTACAACCTTGTTTTAGAAGCGATTGATTACCCTCTATGTAATGGTATTCCAAAATCGCCAGTTTGCGTCACGGCCCACAACAAATTTTGGTTATCGATATTTATGGAATATGTCAGCTCAGCAGGGTCATAGCTAGTGCACAGTACAAGGTACATGAACATTGAAGGACTAGATAGGAAACTGAAATTGTTCTATGACAAAATAATTTTACAATGCATGCAACATCCATTGGACCACTCGAGAAGGATCGTAAATCAAGAGTTTCCATAGCTAGAGGCAACTATTGAATCAGAGACATCTATGACTGTAAGTCAAAGACTTCCAGAAACATTTTAATCACAGTCTTCGTTGCGTATGCATCACATTATGCCGCAGGGAGATTTTCTCTGAAGCCTCAAGCGAGCTGCAGGTGTTTGTGTTCACCTGGTGTGTGTGTTTGTGATCTTCAGGAGCCCAGCAGCAAGCGTGTGAAGCCTCTGTCTCGGGTCACGTCTCTGGCGAGTCTCATCCCTCCAGTAAAAGCTGCTCCGCTCAAACGCATCGGACAGACGCTGCAGGTACAGCCCGACCACAGGATCTGCTCCAGTAACCCGTGTTAAATACAGCTTTGATACTGTTGAGATTTGAGCTTGTCAAAGTTTGCCGTACTAGTTTTAGTTTTTAGGCACAGCTTAGTGTTCATCAGAGAGCTTAGCCTGTCATATGAAGTCAGTGATTGTTTTCTTAAATGGAGGAGTTGATTGAACATTTTTTCTCCTCAGCGCTCCATCAGCTTCCGCAGTGACTGCAGGCCGGAGATCATGGCTCCGCGGCCGTGGGCCAAGCAGATCGCACCAGCCATCACCAAACGCCGCGACAGCAAGCTGTGGAGCGAGACTTTCGACCTGGGCCTGGGACATATGCTGTCCTCCACAGAGATCAAGAGACAAGAGGTGACTTCACCACCGTCCAAACACACTCTGACTGCTCAGTGGGCCTTCAGAAATTAAATGGAAAATGAAAACTTGTGGTCAGGCCAGTCTCATATTCAGCTGAAATCTAAAATCTGTGTATATCTTTGGTGCATAATTTATCCCGTGCACCACAGATATCATATAGTCGTACGGGGATAGATGGACTTTTGACTTGGACAAACTACCACAGAGTAATGCATCCATAAACTATAAACTTATAGATGGGTAAATGCTATTTACAGTATGTCTGCGAGATGCATCCTATGTGATTTTTAAAGCTACTCTTTCTTTCCTGTCATCTGTTCGTCAGGCCATCTTTGAGCTGTCTCAGGGAGAACAGGACCTGATTGAGGACTTGAAGCTGGCCAAGAAGGTACACTCTGTTTTTCCCAGCAGGAAAACCTTCGAGTCCTGGTTTTAGCCCGGCTCGTAAATCCACCAGAATGAATAAATTTGATCATTATAATACTTCTATTTTACGTTTACATTACATTACATTTAGTCATTTAGCAGACGCTTTTATCCAAAGCAACTTACAAATGAGGACAATAGAAGCAATCAAAATCAACAAAAGAGCAATGATATGCAAGTGCTATAACAAGTCTCAGTTAGCTTAACACAGTACACGTAGCAAGGGTTTTTTAATTATATAATAAAAAGAAAACAGATAGAATAGAAAAAGAATAGAGCAAGCTAGTGTTAGAGGCCTTTTTTTTGCTTTTGTTAATTGTATAATAAATAAAAAGAAAACAAATAGATAGAATACAAAAAGTTATTTGTAAATGAAGTTAGTAAATGAGTAGAGTGCAAGTCTAAAAGGGGCCATTTTTTTTTTATATAAAGAATAGAATTAGAATAGAGAGTGCTAGAGTTAGAGGGTCAAATAAAGATGGAAGAGATGTTTTATGCGAGCAGCTACTGGTAGCCAGTGCAAATTGATAAACACGTGACGTGCATGTTTTTCGGCTCATTACAAATTAATCTTGAAAAATGAATTGCAAAAAAAATTATTTGCTGTCACATTAAACTTTATATGTTTGTTTTGGGGGAAGTCTGTGTTTACTGTGAACTGAACCACTTTGAAACAGACAACATGTCAGTCGTATTGCACTTTAAATTTTATTTCAACTATTTATTTATTTTACGTTTCTTTATTTAAATAATAATTAGCATAGTCAGCAAGTTCCAGCATATGATTTCATGTGCTGTCTGTTTCTACATTCTGTTCTAATTCTTATCATGTTTTCCAGTCAGATTTCTAAACGTTTCCGTATAGTTCTGCTTGAGTAGGTTTGAGTGTCTGATGTGTGATCTCATCTCAGGCGTATCGTGACCCCATGCTGAAGCTGTCCATTATGACCGAGCATGAACTCAATCAGATCTTTGGCACGCTGGACTCCCTCATTCCACTGCATGAAGGTGAGCGTGAAGTCAGTGTCTTCTCATCTGTGTGATACATGTCCCACTACAAGTATCTGTTCATCCAATGGGACACGACTAGTGGTCGACCGATATATCGCCAAGGCCGATATATCGGCCGATATTTGGCATTTTTCAAATATCGGCATTGGCTGATAAGTTCTTCTGTTTGGCGGATGTGTTCGAGGCGGGACTTTTATTTTGACGGCGCTGAGAACGGCAGCACCTGAGCGCACACAGCTCACATTCTCCCTCTTGTTCGCTGTCGTCGTTCAGTTCTGTCTAATATGGATAGAAGTCTATCTAATAATCAGGTAGAACTGTTAAACAAAGGAATTAAAATGCATTCATAAAAAGTATTATAACGATTGCTTTAATATTATTAGTAATAGAATGGCAAACATTATAATACTTTCTCATTTGCCGTCAGCATTCAGCAAATACGCATTTATATCATTTAAACAAATCTTTGAATGACTAATGAACATTTAATTTCACAAACCTTGCAGACTTAGTTGAATCTAGTTGAGATCTTGTGAAGGGTGCATGTGTATCCTGCATGATCGCGTGTGCTCTGCGTGACAGTCGGTCCGTGTGTATTGAATGCTGACAGGAGGAGAGTTCTGCTTCACTGGAGATGCGCGATCGACAAACTTTAAACTAGTGATTACAAATTATGCTGCGCTTTATGCATTTGCCCACTGTCATATTCGTGTCATTTTCATTGCGTGCTGTATATAAAATGAGTGTTACCTTGGCTTTATTAAAAAAAAAAAAAAAGATTCCCAATGCTCACAAACTTCCCAGAATACCGAGTGCCCTGTTGGTTACAGTGTTTACTTCCTTTTTAATTAGATTTTTATTAAATATTTATTTATTTGTTTAAAATGCATTGGCTTCTAAAGTACAAGTATGTTTATTTTACACAATTATTTTAATCCATTTCAAATGATTTCAAATGTCTTAAATATAAATTAAAATAAATAAAATTATATCGGCTTTATATGGGCTATCGGCCGCCCTGCTTTCCAAGATATCGGCATCGGCTGTCAAAAAACCCATATCGGTCGACCACTAGACACGACAGCATCAGATTAGAACACAAAGAAATGTAAATTGTACTGTAAGCCAGTCATGATACCGCTCGACTGCTTAAGCAAATGAAGATGGAATATTGATTTTTAGTTTAAGTATGACAAGTTGATTTTATTATGAGATGAGAGCACAGAAGATCACAATAAACACATGCCAGAGCAACTAAATCAGATCAGCACCCTGTTGTTTCTTCACCACGAGGCATAAAGTTGCTTTCCAAAACCTTCACCCTCTCTGTTCCTCTCTGGTGAAATAAGCCAGACTGCTGAAACCATCACAACTTTAACCAGTGCTAGGGGTGTGCGATATAGCCTGTATATCGTCCACGATAATATCGTAATTGTTGTTTTAACGATGTGCGATTTGACATTATCGAGTATTTTGCAAAAACCATTCAAAACACATCTACAGAGCGCACGCATGCATCACGTGAAGTCTAGACTAGAGTGCGTTCTTTCACTGCATGATTCAGTCAAAATGCATTCAGAATGATCACAAATTCAAGACATGGGGGCAGAAAATGTATATATTTATACCACTTCATATAGTTAATCAATTTCACATGAAGAGTGCTGTTATTTCTCCAAAAAATACCATTATTACAAATGTGATATTGATTCAATATTCAATAAACAAGAAGTTAATTAAGAGACTTACGTTTTAGACACCATATTTCCTGTTTTTCCTCTATTTGGCCAACAAAAGTAATATCAAACACAGCTCAGCACTGTATGACGGTGTTTCGTTCCTGAATGAATCAACCGTTTAAATGATTCGGTTCAGTCGCAGTGAGTGACTCACTTATTAACAGTGACTTGCTGCCACCTACTGGCGGTTTTAATTTCACATTTAAAGTATCTTTTTATTCATATAATTTCAAATATCAGTGTTCAACGTTTTAATGTTAATGCATTAAACAGTGTGTAAACACTTCTAAATGCCACTTCAGACATAGCTTCTGTGTTTCCTCTGCATTGCAAAGATGAATTTTGTTGATACTGATTTCATTTGCTTAACAGCCCAAATGTCTTATTATTCTAACTCACTGATTAAATGTAAGAATTTGACTCAAAAGATAATGCACACTTTTAGGAAAAAATTTCTTTATAAAGGTAAAAATGCCCATAAAAGGTAAAAATCCATTTAAACTTACTGAAAAAGATTAATTTCTATCAGTCTAAACTGACCAGCACATAGAATATGAAGAATATCAAAAACTTTAGGAGTCAGTTTAAGATACCAGTACAATAACACACTCAGCAAAATATCGTCTAATTATCGTTATCGATAAAATCTTAGATCTTATTATTTGTCAATATCGCACACCCCTACACTACACAACCCTAAACCAATGCAATTGCATCTCATCTGTTCTAGCTTGTCTCCTAATCTAGCTGTCTAATAAATGTGGCATTATACACTGCAGATATTATTGGCTCTGTGAATAATTGCTCATGCTCCTTTATTGTGTGTCATTTTGTATTAGTGCATCCGCTAAATGCATAAATGTAGACCAGTTCACATGAATTACCTCATATAGAGACTGTCTCCTTTCCCTGAATTACTAAAAACAGTATTTTGATTGAAATATGAAAACATTTATTATAGACCAATGCTTTGTCGGCATCATAGGTTGCATCACACATTGAAGTGGTGACAAAAGACTGAGCTGTTTCTCTGTGATCCTGTAGATTTGCTGAGTCGACTCCGAGAGGCCAGAAAGCCGGACGGTTCGACTGATCACGTGGGCCATATTCTAGTAGACTGGGTAAGATCCTCTCACTGCCGTGCTATATATTCATCTGTGTGAAGTTCCCTCCATCTGATGAACAGAGATGACACGATTTCAGATGCTGATATTTGTGCCTCCTAGAAATGAGGAGCATGTTTTGTGTGCAAGTCTGGTAGTGTGCGATCCTCAGTTGCTCAGTGTTTGATGCCCAGTTTTTCTCTGGAACCATGTATGGAAGGTGTATGATGCGTAGTGTTTAAAAATCTGTTCAGATTTGAGAAGTTGTGTTTGGGGGTGTCTCACCTGCCAATGCATTTGGATGAAATCTCCTTTTTGGATCATTGGCTGTGTCTGAAATCGCATAGTGCAATATTTGAGGCGTAAACCATTTGTAGCGTAACCATACTGGATATCCCATAATGCACTACTATAATGAGAGTACAACTGTACAACTCAACAGCTACAGGATACTTACTCTGTGTCCACACCGACAGACCTCACTGAACGCATTAAACCGAAAATTACAAATACATTGGTCCTGACAAGCAGAGCTGGGTAGTAACTGATTACATGTAATCTGGATTATTACGTAATCAGATTCCAAAAATACAATACAATACAATGATACAATGTGTACAATACAGTGATACAATGCACTTATTGTGTACATACATGTTTTTACATTGTAATTATATTTTAACAATACCTGTATGTAATTACATCTGCAATTAATTTGTTATTACATTTATAATTACACTGTTGACCCATCCCTTGTAAGTACATTGTACTTATTTTTGATGTAAGTACATAGTAGTTAAGGCCACCTAATAAAAAGTGTGACCGACTTTCCTTCCTCTTAGAAAGACGAATTAAGATAAAAGATATCTTTGTAATATCACTGTAGAACATTAGCCAGACAAGTCAGCAGTCCTCCAAGAGCAGGACTGGACACTGATTGCGTCTCTTTCTGGTTGTAGCTCCCTTGTCTTGAAACCTACAACAGTTACTGCAGTAACCAGGTGGCAGCCAAAGCACTGCTGGACCATAAGAAGCAGGACCATCGGGTGCACGACTTCCTCCAGCGCTGTCTGGAGTCGCCCTTCAGCCGCAAACTGGACCTCTGGAGCTTCCTGGACATCCCACGCAGTCGCCTGGTCAAATACCCGCTGCTGCTGCGAGAGATCCTCAAACACACGCCGAACGACCACCCCGACCGCCAGCACCTCCATCATGCTGTGAGCCACAAGACATTATCTCACCCTGGACCACAAAACCCCAAATGGTCAATTTTTTGTGAGGATAGGACAATATTTAGCCGAGATACAACTATTTGAAAATCTGGAATCTGAGGGTGCAAAAAAATCGAAATATTGAGAAAATCATCTTTAAAGTTGTCCAAATGAAGTTCTTAGCAATGCATATTACTAATCAAAAATTAAGTTTTGATATATTTACAGTAGGAAATGTACAAAATATCTTCATGGAACATGATCTTTACTTAATATCCTAATGATTTTTGGCATAAAAGAAAAATTTATAATTTTGACCCATACAATGTATTGTTGGCTATTGCTACAAATATACCTGTGCTACTTATGACTGCTTTTGTGCTCCAGGGTCAAATATCATCTTATACTACTACTGTACAAGTTATTTGCCAAATGCATCCTGGAGCCCAACTAAGTCCTCATTGTGTATGTGGTCTTGTTTCTGTACTGCTCTTTAGATGAACATGATCCAGAGCATCGTGGCGGATATTAACACTCAGACGGGCGAGTCGGAGTGCCGTTACTATAAAGAGCGCTTGCTGTATGTGGAAAGCGGTCAGAGAGATCTGCTGATCGACAGCTCGCGGATCCTCAGCTGCCACGGAGAGCTCAAGAACAACAGAGGAGCCGTAAGAACTATAATAAATTATGCATAATTACATGCAAGTAACCCTAAGGCAAAACCTAATCCTAACCCTAACCATATAGTAAATACATGTAGCTAATTAATATTACTCAGTACTCAAATGTACAATTACACTGTAACAAGGACACCTTAAAATAAAGTGTAACCAATTTAAGTAATAATATTAGTTACCATCCCAAAAAACTGGCTAGTTACTAGTTACGGTACTTTTTGTCACAATTGCTAAGGATTTGAAATTCAAAAATTCAATCATCGCTATCAGTTTTCATAATCGTCGTCACCAACGCAGTAAGCTAGCTTTGTCGGCAGACGGAGAAGCCCAAAGTGGCTGGAAATACCCTCCAATTAAACTGGTATTAAGTCGAAGATTAATCTCTCAGCTAAAGTCTCATTTGTCATAAACTGACAAAATTAAATGGCTTTTTTGATGGCAAACCTAAATAAGATGTGTGGAGTGGTACATTTCTATAATTTAAGCCTCCATGCTTTTTTTAATGCAAATGCTTCATATTTCATTAAATAAAACTTGAAGTTTTAATTCATTTTTGACCGGTACAAGTAAAATAAAAAACTGCAGACTGGACAAATATGTGTTACACTATTACTATTTGATATTTTTCAGAATCCATCAATAACCAAACACAAGTCTAAACTTTTGGATGTTTTTCATCTGGATATTTTTAAAAGCAACAATTGAATTATTAATCTGTTCAGTTAAACAAATTGTCAAAATTTGCCAGTTTTATCACCAGATTCTAGAAAATTCTTTGAAGGGCTTCACAAAAAGCAAAGTTTTGAACTGACTGGGGGACAGTAGCAACACTGTCCCAAATAACTCAGGAATTAAGCAGAAAAATGTAAATGTAAAATAATTGGAACAAATTTTTACATTTGCAGTGAAACAGATATTTTCTCTCATGCTTTCTATTTTTATTTCAAAATAAAATAGGTTTATGCAGTACATAGGCTTGTTAGGGTGGCTTCCCTGCCTAGAGAAGTCATTTCACTGCTACAGTGACAAGCTATGCAGCTTAAAAAAAGTTAATGAACAAATGTGCCTCAAGCGTAAGAATAATATCCATATTCAAAACATAATAATCACTTTAATCTAGCTTGCGCCAACAGTTGTACACAGAAGCAGCTCCGGGGGGATGACGTATGGAGGTCAACGTTGCGCATGTGCCGTTGAGTCTCGTGAAAACCAACATTTGTTTACAGGATCAAAGGAAGCAAAGTTTCCTTACTTTGTCAGAGGATTTCGATATAAGCCAAGAGGAGACTTGTTTTCCTTTGCTATTCTTCTTTACAAATCCTCGTTTTGTACTTCTAATTAGTGACCGTTGTTTAGTTTTGATCTCTCCGCTGCGCTTCCGCGT